CATAGAATCTTTCTTTGTAGAGGATGTCAGTGCCTACAACGTCTGTATAAAAAGCTTTTCGCCAGCGTCAATAATTAATTGGATATTTCCTTATATACTTTTTAGCACGTAGCTATTTATTATTAGCATTGTTCTTCCGACGTCTGATTTCTTTTTAATTATAGGAAATGCGTTTTTCTAAGGTACATAAACTTCTGGGATTGGCTGTATAGCCAATACATCCTTAAATAGATATGTTACCAATTGGAGTGAATTAACTTTTGCAAGCGATATTCTCTCTGTAACTTTGCTCGCCGATAGAATTTGAGGGAACGGAGTGTATCGATAGGGTCTAAAGCCTGAATCGATGGAGGGTTTGACCGTCCCGACGGGCTGCTGGAAAATTTACCGGAAACGATGCGCGTCCGCTTCTTAGCGCGACCCATAGAGAATCCTTCCTCTCTCGTCGGTGTGGACAATGTTCGAGAGCTTGTTAAAGTTTCAGCATGCGAGAGAGAAAGGTCTGCGCGCGTCCCCAAACAGCGTCGTTGTTCGAAATTGAGACGGATGAACCCGTCGACGAATGTTGTATATCTTTGATACACGTGCATTCTATATTAAATTGTTTCCTTTTGCTATCGCAATAAATGCGAGACAAACTGGTCATGACTTATGTTTTCGATCTCGACGCTGCATTAACAAAATCGAGTGATGTTCGTCACTAAAATTTTATGCAAAGCGCCAGTAGCATAGTCGTTGCAAAGTAAGTGCTCCACTCTCGGAAACTGAAGATTCTGCGTAGGCGGAAGGTCAAAGGTAAAGTTTTTCATGAGATTCAAAGGTCCTCTCGAACATTAAACACCGTTAAAGAGAACGCTACCAATTTCCCGTTTCTAATTAAAGCCTCTTAACATTTGGCAGTACTAAATGTCAAACTGCTTTTACTTATAAACATTTTGCCCAAACCTTTTAACAGATAATTTTTTTTAATTTCCAGGAACGGGCACATGTTGACGCATCGAAATAAAAAACCGTACGAGTGTAAAGCGGAAGGTTGCGGCAAGTCGTACTGTGACGCGAGGAGTCTGAGAAGGCATACGGAGAATCATCACGCTGGGAGCAAAGTGAACGAGAGCGTCAGTCCCAGTAGCCCGACGACCGGCCCAAACACCCCGGGAAGCAATCCTAGCACGCCCAGCACACCGGGCGCAACCTCGACGTCAAACGGCCACGGACATCCGGCCCTGAGTAAATTGCTTGCCACAGAACCCACGCAAACTCCACAGCAAAAAGTGAGTGACAATCTACTTAATTCTCATTTAATTACTTCGTCCCCGATCCGAAATTTCGTTTTCAATGAAGAACCGAATTATCGAAAAAATACATTTATCAAAGCATCGCAATAAACAATTGCAGATGCTTTAATACTGCACCATGATATCAGGATTAGGACTCGTTATTATTGCTTCGTGGTTTTAAATCAATATATCGATTATTTTACACAACTTCTAACCACGGCCTGTACTCACGCAGATACAGTAACACCGTTTTGTCGAAATTGGTCCGATATTGATTCGTTCGAGATAGGTTTAAAGGCTTAGGTAGCAGCAGCTCCTCTAGGATAAGTCCGGTCAACGCGAATCCGAAGATCTAGCGACGTAAGAGGATTACATTGATCTGGCCGATCGTCGGGCATGTTGCGCGACCTCTAATCGCGGTCCCATTAATTTTTATACGTCATTTGCGGTCTTCAATTTGTTCGAACTTCCTTTTACCCGCCGACTCGGTTCGATATTAAATCTACTCGGGGATTACGTTTGTTGCGACAAATTCTCGAACGACGTCAAAGTATATCTTGCAATTAATCCGTTTACAATCGCAATTATTAAAACTATACGAGATTTGAGAAGACACAGAAGGCTCAAATAATCGTTTCATTCTTAACTGAAAGATTTGTTATAACCGAGGATATGTAAGGTCAGGGTCTCATGAGATTAGAACGTCGAATAAAGGAAGGGACCAACTTATTTCGTGGCAACGCCAATGCAACGCAAACAAGTACAGCGCATAATTAACAAGGGTACAGCGTGACGCGTCCTAGGCAAACAGAACGTTAATATTGTGGGCTATTACCAACGTACGTAGTAGAAACTGGTCTTATCAGTCAGCCATCGTTTACAGTAGCGCATATACGTACGTCCGTACTTACGTACATATATACAAGTACAGTGAAGCGGTGATGCGACTGGTTGCCGCTACCAACAGTGGAGTTGGTTAGCATATACTCAGCCAGTCGTGACAGTGGTGCAAGTTTGTAGAAACTCTGACAGTAGTAGTTACCGGTTGCGCGTTGACGGCGGCGGTAAATGTCAGAAATTAGATGCTTGGCAATGATGCCGCGCGTAAATAACTGCCGTCGTTTACTTGCGCCGGGTCATAAAATGTTTAGACGAATACCAGACGAATACTCTTTACAGAACCTTTACTAATGCGATACACGATAAACATGTTATCATGTGTATGAGCTAATAAGAATTGTGTAAAACAATATTCGGTAAATTGCATCAAATGTAAAATTCATATGAAGCTCCTCTCAATGGATTCAAGAAATAATTACTCACCTCATGGTACAGTTCTTATTGAAATAAACTTGTATACCAAAACTTCTACCAAGTCATAAATTTCGCATTTGGCAAACGACGCGGTTGATCTTGTAAAATTTCGTACCGGAAATGCAGCACGGTCGAACGCCTCTGCGCGGGATCGAGCGCAGCACCCATCGTCGTTCTCCGACGTTCTTTATTGGCTGCGACGCTCGGCAATGGTAAAACGGGTCGAGCCGATCGGCCATTGTCGGACGATAAAAGGACGCGAGAGAACGAACTGCTCTGAAGGAATCGAGGAAGCCGGAGGGAGGATGAGGAAGAGAAGGAACGAAAGGAATGGCGGGCGTTCTTCGTCTCGCTTGATCCCTCGTCCACGAGGGCCGCCGACTTCGGAGCTGGTGGAAATTAGTTCTCGGCTGTGGAGCACGGAATTATTGCTGCTTTCAAAGTCGCTGGAGCTCGAGCTTCGCCGCGCTTACATCTGGCCCTCCCTTCGTCCGTTCCTCGCACCCCGGCGAGAGAATACAAGGGCGAAAGAAAGGAAGGAAACTGTGTGTGCGCGAGAAAGCGTACGAGAAAGGGAGGGTAGTTAAATCGAGACTACAAATCTACAAGATATTGAGTTAGAAGCGAGGCGAGCCCTCGAAGCGGGAGCTAATAAAATTTGATGACCGGGAACTTCGTAATGAGAATGGGACGGGGAAAGAGGAGCGTGGCTGGAGGGAGGAATCGGCCGTCTATGAAAACTTCTCAGACACACTCTCCTGATTTATGATATTTCATCGGACCTTACGCAGCCTTCGGTTTTTCCCGGTTATTATCGAGTTCCTTCAGGGTACGAATCAGCAGCGTTCTCATTTTCTTTAACCCTTCCCATTTTTAAGAACACGTGTTCTCGACCAAGTCAAGTGTTTATGATTTTGTAAATTCATTTATACTTCGTTAAGTTATATTTTAATGTCATAAGTGGTCCTTCAACTCAATATATGAGGCACATTTTGTACTCGGATTGGCGAAAAGAATCTGGAAAGGAAGATAGGCCTCCGTCAGTGATTCAAGATCAAAAGGCGTCTGTCGATGGTTCGACTAGATCTCTGATTGCGTGGTAAAGGCGGCGCGTGTTAGAAATCACGGTTATCACCGCGGAAAATCACTTTCTTGCTCGCGGAACCGTGCTCCCTTCGACAAAAGCGGTAAAGGGCCAAGGCGGACCGTGATAGAAAAGGGTTTCGTCGCCATTCTATTCTGTCAGTTGCCATGGGTAACGGCTTTGTCTTTCGGGTGAGACCGAGTCTGTTGACGCTGGTCAGCCGCTGATAATTCGCTGTCGACATCAATAGAAATTTTTTCTCTGCACAATGAGACAATGGAAGTTACTAAAACCTAGAGACATAATTGATCGATTCACTGGTGCAATTGTACGGAATCGTATTTTCTACTTGGGTCTATTGTACATAAAATGTCTTTATATAAAAGATTTGTACCGAGAAATCCCATATGAAATTCGAAACAAGAATACACGCTGTAATCTAGTCTGATTTAATTCTGACTGGACCGTAATTAACGTCGATATAAATATTCCAAGTTTGATATTCGCTCGGCTAGAATTCTTCAAAGCAAACACGATCAAGACAAACACGCGCCAGACGCACAGAGACACTTAGCTAATGAGTATTAAGTGACGCGCACAACAGACGAGCTATAGCGATGCACGCCGGGGTACGAGTCCGGTTGAAAACAGGGGATGCGTAATATGAAATTCCGGGACTGTCTCTTTGTCAATATTACCTGGCGGCGGAAAGAGCGGGCTCGGGAGCTTTAATATGATTAAAATCGCGTTTGAAAGTGCCACGCGCGGTAAAACATGCCCGGGTACAAATTTCTCCGAAAAACATTTCAGAATACGCCGAGCCGTCGCCAATGGAATTTCGACTGGCAATTAGTCCAAGTCGAATCAGGATCGCTCGAATTCCATGCGATCGCTTTTAATCACGATCAATTCCGAACGACGTGCGTGGCTCTTTACGGCCGGAAATCAATGGCATTCTTAATTTACGGATGACTACCGTTGCGTCGAAACAACGTCAAGCTATATCGACCCCTTCTCATTTGTTCCCCGGTGCCAATAAACTCAAAGCCGTTCGTCTGTGAAATCAAGTAATAGAGATAGATAATACACACACACACACACACACACTGTTCCTGCGAATCGCAATTTGATTAATTACATAAGATGACTGTCATCGGGGATATCAAGTAGAAATCCAAATTTGGTTCTATATCATTGAAATAAGCGATAATTTTGAAAGACTCGAGGTCTTGCCTGTGAATTTGATTCCTTAAACAATTTGCATGTGTAATAAACACGTGCACGATCAACATTTCAAAGGTGATTGTGTACGTTTAAAATTATCTGCTTAGCGCGGAGGAGGCACCGCAAATTGGGTCGAACAAGTTCACAGGTACGCGCACCGATTTCTATGCGCGCCGCCACAGGCTTCGGAATCTCTCCGATCGGGATTGGAGTCGGAGTGTGTCTCGAGGTTTGCAAATTACATTCGACTAGCGCCCACACGTGCACGGATGTACTTTCACGAGCGCGCGAGGGAATATATCGAGATCCGTGGAAGTCAATCGCGGCCCGCTCGCAATCTCTTGAAGTTAACGCGCGATCGTGCTTATCTTTTGTGCGAATCTCTCGGATGCAATTAGAGGATGGAAGCAGCGGAGTAGACGGACTCGACGGAGTTTGCGTCTTGATGAATCGGTAAATTGGTATGCGAACAGGGCTTAGAACTATTTAGACGAATTGTGATTTAGATTCTAATAAATAGCATCTAGATTTATGGAATTATTCTTTTTATGATAATCTGTAAAGGCTCATTTTTACACCCGGAGAAACTCGGATTACTCGTCGAAAAATGTAACGAATTTAAAAGGGGTATGTGGTATCATAAATTAAGCCGCTTTTATATTTCGTAACAAAATTCATTGTAGCTCGAACAGAAATCTTCTCGTACAGCTTTTTGCATTCTATTCAATTATAAAAATGTGAATGCGAAGCATTGAAAGCACTGACATTTCGTTTCTACTGAACCTTTTGTTTTTAATTTTCACCAGCCAGTTTTTAACGATCCTAAGAACACATCTCGCGTATTAATGAACGCGGAGCTCCATAATATATAGCTAATGAGAAACCGGTGGCAAAGGCATGAATATAAAGAATGGCTTTGACCACCATTTTTGATGAGATTCAGTTTGCTCGTATTATTTAATATAAATACAAAACTAGTTGAACGAATAATCCGTTGATGTTCATTAAACCGTATAATTATTTCTTCGAATATTTCGATTGCATAATTCAGTTATGTTTCAAGCTTTCAGTTATGTTCAAGATAATCACGCGCAGTGGAACGCCTCTGGCCGAGCAAAATGTACACAACACTGTCTGTCAACAGCCGACACACTATTAAGCTATAGTAGTCGCTTATAATAGTGGTGCACAAGGTGTGACAGCGGTTTCTCACTAAAATAGTTGATGGTACGACGTGCTATTGGCAATGTGCACGTACTAAGCATCAAACAGAGCTGTCTTCAAATATGTCGCGAACCTTTGAGATACGGAACCAATTTAGATATCAGTCCTTTTTGCCGTATCATCTGAACGTTTCAGTTTAACACTAGAT